TGATTCTGACGATGAATAATAGGCGGATACTTTTACAAATATCGATGTTTTAGGACCCAGATATGCAGAATGTGCTGTTTGTTTATCTTTGGTGTGGATTTCTAGATCATAAATTGGCAACAATTGTTTTTGATGTAACAAAAGATGATGAACCAGTTGGAATACGTTTTATACCCTTTTTTTTGCAAAATAACAAAAATCGGTACATTTCTACAGGTACGTGATGCACAGACAAAACTAGATTGCCATGCATGAACAGTCGTCAAAAACAGTGAAAACACCCACCAAATATAATAGCTAGGAAATCGACCTACTATTTCTCTCATTTTCATTGGTCCATTTAAATAACTGACCGTCTTTTCTGAAATGACAAAAATTTGAAATTCTATGAAAGTTATCCAAATTCTAAGGCACAAAGACATAATATTACATGTATAATGTACCCTTATTTATAAGGCAACCGTTTTTTCACGACTTTATTCAATATTTCAATAGAAACCACTGATATTCAGAGAGCCTTGACAGCTTCCGTCAAATTGCATTTCGATAAGGTCTTTTCCTATTGGTCCAACTGACCGTCAAATATTAATGTTAGTGAAATTGGCCCTTAGTATACCTTTTGAGCTGCCAGGGTTCTTGAATGGCGGAGTTTATTTAAACTTTTTACCAAATCATTGTTCTGAATTTGTTGGAGGACGTGCCAGCATTCACAGAGACATGTGATATCAACAAGATGGCTGCTCGGTGAACTATGACCTTTCAGTGAGAGAATCTCTTGATGCGGAATACAAGAGCAGTCGGATAAGGCGGTCTGGTACAATGTCGTGGCCAGCCCGCACGGGTATCATGTATCTTGAAAAGTGACGTTATATCGATTTCCTTTGACATTACAGTGTTTTTTTTTTGACATTATGTAGGATTTTCTACAAGATGTGTTGTGTAACCGTCATGAGGCTTATTATCAATCTTTGGCTCTGATGTGATGTAAAATCTGCTTCTGAGGGCATTACTGGAGGTCTAAGCTGCAAGTTCTTTTTTATGATAATTACATTGGGTACTTGTCTCGAATGCACTTAACTGAAATTCAAAGCTTGAAGTTAGTTGCTTAGCCACTTTTGCTTATTAATTCTGGAAATTACGTATACAAATTTTCTGAATTTCAAAAATGAGAGAGATAAGAAAAATTATATTACAAGCCATATACATGCTAACAGTAATTACACCCAAGGCGATCTTGGTATCCAACCAAGTTACGCTCAGAGATAAAAAATGCAGACACGGATCACTCAGCCTCACAAAACTATGCAACCAATAATGCGTGTAGCCTAGTTGAGTGATTCCTCCATAGATGGACGTTCACAATGATCCTAGTGAGCAAACGTGGAATGACTGTTAGCGCCCTAAAAACTACCTAGTATGCAAGATGACATCTTATAGGTTTTTTGACGTTTTATAGGTTTTTTACATAATACCCGTGTCGTACCCCTGACTTAAATCAACTCGTTTTTTTTAAAGGGGAGCGGTGAAAGAAAAAGTTTAGTCAAAGCCACTCCAAACTTTAGCTGAGCTACGAAACAGAATAAAGGAAGCAGCTGAATTTGTTTATAACGGAAAATTCATACATCTGACATGCCGATCATTTTTAAGATGTCAAGCTTACACTGCTGCTGATTGAAGTCAGTTTGACAATTATTGTGAATTTAATAAACACGTCCAAAATTTAATAAAAGTGCCGTTACTATCTGTCTTGCTAGCACTACGTAGAATGCCACTATCCGTCACACCGACCAAGAAAAGAATAAAATTTGTAGTAATGGGAACTAAAAGATCATCGCAGGGTGTAGATTCATCCGATTTTTTATGCCTATAATTTGAAAAGTACACGACTTAGATTTTTTTTACATTCATCGTGATGACATTCGCAGAGTGACGAATCTTGTTCATGAAGTGAGAAATCTCTCCGTAAATTCCGCAGTGAGCAATGGAACGATTTTCTGGCGGGGATGCTTGACTCAATTACTCGTCTCTTGAAAGTAGCGAAGTCGCTCAGAATCGGTAAGCGAGAACAACTCACGCACATCCACGGTCCTGGGGCCTTTAGGACAGAGGACAAAGTCGAGGTTTTCGCTGATGCTATGAAACGAGTTGTCTCCCAACTATGATCTTGATAATGATCTCGACGAGAAGCAACATATTGTAAGATCCGTCTGGAGATATGTTACGGCCAACGGCATCAGTGACAGTCACGCTATCGTTGGTGATTTTTCTTCATCAGAAGGTTCTTCTTCAGAAGCTTCTTCAACCGGAGATCTACTTAGCACATCAGCGGCATCTCCTGAGATCCCGCATTGCCCACCAGCAGAGCTTCAAGGTCATATTAAAGACCTCAAGGTGCGTAAAGTGCCTGGGGAGGATCAGTTTACTAATAAGGCGCTGAAGCTGCTTTCACGAGTCCTTGACTTATCTCGTGGCTATTATCAATGCCATGCTAAAGACTCAATACTTTCCATCCGCGTGGAAGACTGCGGAAGTTATAATGATTCCAAAGAAGGTGGGTTCGATATTTCCCCAGGACCGTCGTCCCATCAGCCTACTGTCTGCTCCGTCTAAGCTCGCTGAAAAGGCGATTCTACGCTACCTTGCGAATTTGTCGTCAGATCACCATGTGATTCCTGACGTGCAACTTGGATTTCGGTCTGAGTATTGTACGGAGTTACAAGCGGTTAGGCTTGTGGAGCGAGTAACCAGGGGCTCCACCCTTAACGAAAGTACTGGCATCTTGCTTCTGGATGTCTCGAAGGCATTTGACAAGGTGTGGCCCAAGGACCTTCTCTATAAACTAATTCAAAAGGGCTTTAAATTTTGGCTCGTAAAACTTTTGAAATCTTTTCTTGATGGTAGGAAATTTCGGATCACTCACTTTTCACGTATGATGTCGCTTGCCCTAGCTACGGTAAGGTCTATCTATATGCTGATGACACTGCATTCGTGGTCCAGTCGCGTATAGGGAATCTGGTTCACGACAGGTTTCAAAGTGCGGTGGATGAGGTATTGGAATGGGCAGATCGGTGGCTAATCAAAATTAATTACTCGAAAACGCAGGCTATCTGTTGTACCAAAAAACGTAGCGGCGCCCCACCTGAGGTTTCAGTGAATGGAGCTCGCATACCATGGGGAAATTCTGCTAAGTATCTCGGTGTCACTCTTGACAGTGGGATGACCTGGCAGAATCACACTGAAGCGTTACAAACTAAATTCTAAATTGCGTTTCGGCAACTCTACCCTTATGCATGTGCGGCATGGTGTTTTCTTGCCAAAACGCATATGCGTAATCTGCAGGTTTTGCAGAACAGAACCTGGCGAACCATCACTAACGCACCATGGCATGTCTCCAACGAGACCTTTCACAGAGATCTCGACATCCCTTACCTAAGGGACTACATCAAACATCAGGCGCAGTTACGTTATAGTCAAGGGGAATCGCACAGCAACCCCCTGTTACGTGAGTCAGTAGACTACACAGTCGAGCAAGTTCGCAAGCACACAAGACTGCGGCTCGCACTGTGACCAAAATCAAATCGTGCAATTCTAGATCCAACTAAAATTACGATTTTTGCCACACACAAATTAATTTTTGGATTAATTTAAGATAACCGAATACCAGTTAACAATAGAAAGGCGTCCCTTTAACCAGCGCACTTTACCCTCTTTGCTCTCCCCCCTTCCTTCCTTTCTTTCTTCTTCCTTTCTTCCTCCATGTCTTCGTCTGGTATCTAGGCAAGTAGACACGATAGACCTACTGACTTACGATACTTTAACAAAGAGCGAAGGTCCCACGGACCGCTCTGACGGACAATGACGAATAGAGAGATGTTTTAGATTTATCTGATAACTATTATAACTTGGCCTATCCCCCGTTTCCGGGTTGACGTCGATTTCTGGTACACTCTGCACATAATTCCTGTTCCACTTCTGACCAACCACTATATTTTTTTCAAGGATCTCTTCTTTCACTGATTGTTGCAAAACAATACTGCGAAAGTGGAAATCTTAAGTAGGTATTCTCTCTTCAAAGGTAAAAGATACCGTATATAACATTAATGGGGTGGTTTTAAGGGTGACCTTATCTTGAGTATCCTGTAAAACGTATTTCCGAGGAGTTTGCTTCCCTTTGTACACGGTACAAAATATTACAGGTATTATACAGGCAATGTCGTTACTAGCAGCATCGTGCGGTTCACAGGGTAGTTTTGAATAAGTAGCTATTGCGCGGCCTACCGGCAGGAAATATTAGCAAATGCTAGTAATAATAACATTTTACCATTATAAAAGTTTTGAGATAGTAACTACGCTTATTGTACTAGCGCCACGACCTAAATGTACGTCGAGCGTATACGTTTGAATCAACGTATAAGGATAATGTTGTAAATCAGCGGTCAAATCGAGTACTTCATCCGTCTCCCTACACGCAACGTACCCTTTGCACAACGGGGATTTACATTTGAGCAGCTTATTAAACATAAAGGAGCTTTTTTGAGCGACTTTACTTCTGGTGGTCTGGAGACTTTGGTTCGGATACACATCCATAAAAATTGTATGACTAGTGACAGATAATTGACAGTAGATAGTGGCCAATTCATGACCTTTCCTTCGCAAGACTGCCTCTGATAAACGATTGAATTTTGTATTTTTTAGGTTTTTTTTTCTGATTGGACATGTATCCATGCTATTTTTGAAGTGGTATTTTGTATACCTATGTAACCTTTTGTTTCTCAGTGGTTTCACTGTGAAACCACGTACATACAAATTTCTTGCTACGTTCCTAGCAGTATATGCTTGAAACCACTTACAGTATATGACGTGTATGGCTCCCCTCACCTTGAAATTTATTGCGCTCTGCCATTTACATTCGCGTTGCTCATGTATTAGTCGGTAATAGAACGTGTTTTGAACTGGGTTAGCGGTGTAGGCAATTTTGGTGGTTCTTAGGTCATTTCACTATGGCAGGTAAGTTTATTTTTTCATTTAAAATGTTAAAAACATTTGTATCGATGATTAATGCTCCCTATTACTTAAGGTTGTCAACTTAAAATAAATGCCAGTTTCACCGGGAAACCACTAAGAAATTACGTTTTTTTTTATTTCAGGAAAAGAGGTGTATACATTCAGAGAGCTGGAGAATATGTCGTCGGATGGTTTATATGCATTATTAGAGAGCATTCCTTTGGATGGCGAGTCAGATGAACCGAGTACCGTCGATTGGGGTGACATTCATCTCAAGGGCGAGTTTGATCACCAGATCATTTTCTCGTAAGTTTGAATTTTAGCGCCAGAACTAGCGAACCAATCACAGCTAAAGATAGTGCGTGCGTCAGAGGAAATATGGCCGCAGATACGGTATGCGTGCAAGCTAGCGGTGCCGCTTATTTCATAAGAAGAATCAGTGTTTTTGAGGGTGTCAGTTTTGGGGCATAGAGTAACTATCTGGAAATTAGCCAGGTAAGTTAAAGTGCTGATCTGGATTTTTGTTTGCGTCATACTAGGCGTGTTTGTTGATATTTTGAGGTTATGGTGTAGTCGAGCGGGAATGAACAGTGCAGTTTTATTCATAATGTTGAGATATTTAATGGGTGGGGTCAGATTGTTCGCCTAGACGGGGCGAGATTGATCAATTTTCAGTGATCAATCACACCCCATCTAACAATAAATGTATATTTATTTTTGTATTGTTGATGAAATTATTAGATTTAGCTATAATTTTATTATTTCTTACAGTTGGAGAATCCTAATCATGCCGAGGAATTATAAAAGAACACTTGGATCACGCCGTTACGTGGATTATGGCCCAGAGACCCTAGAAGCTGCTCTCAAAAAGGTGGTAGAAGATGAATGGTCCCTCGGTCAACCATCGGGTGCACATACCTGTAATATCCCTTTTGGCACCACTCGAAATAAGTATAAGGGAATCAGAATTCTGAAATATGGAGGTCAAACAGTTTTTTGAGTTGCTGAAGAACATGCCTTCGCAAAAGCAGTAAATATTTGCTCAGATTGGGGATTCCCACTCACGCTTACTGATTTGCGCTATATAGCTAAAAGCTATCTGGATAGTCAGGGTCCCATTATTGGGATGTTTAGAGCAAACATGCCTGGATCAGATTGGTCTCGTTCTTTCTTACAACGACATAAGAAAGATATTAGCCAAAAAGTTGCATCGCACATCAAGACAGCTCGGGCTAATGTTTCAATATTTCGAAAATTTGAATGAAACATTAAAGGATATCCCAGCTTGTAATATATTCAACTACGATGAAACAAATGTGCAGGATGATCCCGGAAAATAAAAGATGCTGTTTCGACGTGGTACAAAATACCCTGAAAAGATATGCAGCTTTACCAAAACTGCTACTACCATAATGATGTGCGGGTCGGCTTCTGGCGTACTGCTTCCACCATACGTTATATATAAGGCTGAGAAAATGTGGAAGCAGTGGATTGAGCTCGGCCCCGGCGAGCCTTGCTGCAACAATAGATGCTGCAATGTAGGATCACGATATAATCTAACCCAACACGGATGGATGGACGCTCAAACGTTTACAGACTGATTTAAATAAGCTTTTCTTCATGCAAAATCTCTTCCTGGCCGGAAAGCGTTAATTGAAGACAACCTGTCTTCACATAAACGATGTTGCTTTCGTTTGCCTCCAAAAACGTTCGACCAATCTCACTCAGCCATTAGATATCGGACGCTTTCGCCCTTTCAAGATAGCTCATCCCCATCAGTCTACTCTAGATAAAAAGGATGTTCCCAGTGTATTAGCTTTTACCCTTGTAGAAATAAACTAAAAACATGAGAATGCTACAAAGAAAGACTTGATAAGCTCATTTCGTGCAACTGGTATAGCTCCTCTGGATGCTGAACGAGTTCTGCGAAAAATTCCAAGCCAAACCACTATACGAATACTGAAGATTCGCTGGGCAACGTTCTTGAGGAATATCTTTTTTTTTTTTTATATCGAAACAACCGCGCAGGCAGAAGCCTAAATGCCGGAACACCGCGGCTGCTATGATGATCCCAAAGAAATTTTGTTAATACGATTTTTGAACTGCCTAAGGTTAGTAGAACTGGGAAAAGCTTCCTCCCGTAGTTTGTTCCACAATCTAGACACCCTCGGGACAAAGGAGCGGTCGTATCGGCCAGTTCTGGACGTACGAAGTTTGACACGGTTAGGATGGGACGTCGAAGTCAGGCGGGTCTGTCTGGCAGGCACATCGCGCGGCGGCATCATGGAGGAGAGCTCTGAGGAGGAAAGCCCGTTGGTGTAGCGATAGAAAAGAGCTAGATCGCCGACGGCCCGCCGGTGCGAAAGAGTCCCGAGACTGTCTGTTAGAGAAGAGTCATCGATCAGTCGGACCGCCCTCCTCTGGACAGCATCGAGCATGGACAATGTAGTCGGGGCGGCAGCACCCCAAATGTGTGAGCAATACTCGAGGCTAGGCCTTATCTGGGCCTTGTATAGAGTGAGAAGGTCATGCGGAGAAAAGTACTTCTTAGCCCTAAACAAATAGCCTAGCTTTTTCCCAGCAGCTGCAGCTATTGAAGAGATGTGTTCGTGCCAGATCAGGTCCTCGGTGATCTGGACTCCGACCAGCCGAAATGAATGGCTCTTTGGTAGAACTCGACCGTCCATCGAAACTGTATGAGCGCTAGGACGCTTTTTGTTCGTCAAAGTACAGTACTGTGTTTTGGAAGCATTGAACTGTACAAGATTGTTGCGTCCCCAAGCAGTGATAGCCTCCAGGTCTCTTGTCAGAGAAGAAGTCGTCGCTAGTCTTCTTTTTTCCAGCTCAGCGGCAGAGATCGGCTTGTCACTCTGAATTCCTGCATGTAGAGTGCTGTCATCAGCGAAGCTGTGGATTGGTTGATCGTGCAGGAAAGGAGGTCGTTGATATGTAAGAGAAACAGTGTTGGAGCCAAGACCGATCCCTGGGGAACACCCGCGTTGACGTTGTGGGGTGAAGAGGAGAATCCGTCAATTACGACGGATATCTTACGGCCAGAGATAAAGTCAGCCACCCATCTGCAAAGCTTTTCTGGGAAGCCGTAGGATGGAAGTTTGCTCAAGAGGGCAGCGTGCCACAGCTGATCGAACGCTTTCGTGATGTCAAGAGCAACGACATGAGCCTCACCATGAGAGTGGATGAGTTTACTCCACAGTTGCGTGACGTAAGCTAGGAGGTCCCCTGTGGATCGCTGGTGCCGGAAACCGTACTGCCTGTCGCTAATCAAGCTGTGACGTTCGAGGTAGTCCAGAAGCTCGCGATTTATGCACCTCTCCATCACTTTACTTATAACAGAAAGCAGAGCTATAGGCCTGTAGTTGTAAGGGTCGGTTTTAGATCCTTTTTTTGGGATGGGCTGTACATGAGCAAATTTCCAGTTTTCTGGGAAGGTGCCGGATTCATAAGATATCTGGAAGAGACGCGAAAGAACTGGAGCAAGCTCAGCTGCACATCTCTTCAGTACAATGGCAGGAATCAAGTCCGGACCAGAAGCCTTGTTGATGTCGAGCGACAAGAGCACTCGTCTTACGGTCTTATGCCTGAATGTTACCTCCCGCATAGTGTGGGGAACCCTTTGAATTGACGGCACTTGGGCGTTGGTGGGGACGTCCATGGTGGAGTTGGCAGCAAAGATCTTGGCTAGCACTTCCGCCTTGGCCTTTGAGTCGAATACAATAGTTCCATCCTGACACGTAAGTGGTGGAAGGCTACTGTGTGAGAAGTTCTTTTCAATCTGCTTGGCCAGCGTTCAGAAAGAGCGACTGCCATTGCGCTGCGACATTACCCTGTGCCTAACTTTTATATCATGCTGGGTTTTGGCATTGCGAACCGCTTCGTTATATTTGTTTCTGGACTCGACGTCGGCTTGTCTGTTCTCTACAGTGGGGTTTTGTAAGTAGGTTCTGTGGGCCTTGATCTTCTGCTGGCGAGCAGTGTCACACGATTTGTTGAACCAGCCGTTGGACCCTGGTTTAGGAACTTTCACTGTGTGAGGGATGTATTCCTTCATTCCGACGTGGATAATTTCGGTTATTGAAGAACAGACAGTCGACGCATCCGCGTCAGTGAAACAGACATCTCTCCAAGGAAAGCTAGAGAAGACGTCTCTGAGCCCCTCCCAGTCGGCATGTCCGTAATGCCAAGTTTTGCGGCCTGTGCGAGTTTCTGCGGCCACAGCGGCTTCTGACCGAAACCTAACCTCCACAACACCGTGATCTGAGTTACCCAGGGGGGACAGGACGGCAGTGCTGTAAGGGGCAGGATGCGTGGTCAGAAAGCGATCCAGCAGGCTACTGGAGTGTGACGAGACGCGGGGGAAAAAAGTAGGGCTCGTCACCAGCTGAGTCAGCCCTTGAGTAAGAGCGAACGCTTCGACTGCACGACCTGCTGCATCGGTCTTATTTGAGCCCAACCAAAGCTCATTATGGGCATTGAAATCACCGAGAAGAACTACCTCTGAAGCGAGGTGATTGATGTTCAGGAAGTCGATCTGGACGGCGAGGTATTCGAGTAGGTCATCCCAGTTATGGTTCGAGGGAGAGCGATAAAGGCAGCAAATAAATTTGGGTGATGTTTTGGAGTTGAGGCGAAGCCACAGAATGTCCTTCCGGTCTGATTCCAAAGAAAGATCCCTGGAGCAGGAAAGACTGCTGCGGACAAAAGCCACAACTCCCCCGTTCTTTCTCAGATTGGAGTGCACCTCGTAGTTTGGGAAGTTGAGATGGTTAATCGGTGCAGCCTCTGAGATTTTTGTCTCCGCCAAGAAAAGCACGGCGGGACGATTGGATTGCAGGTAGTGATGAACAGCATCAATGTTGCTGTTGATCCCACAGATGTTCGAAAAACAAATTTTATCTTCGATGTTGTTCCCTCGAGCCCACCCTCCACCCGGACATTCCGAGAGTGGAGTGAGTTTACGTCCGGAGTTTTTAGTGCTCGAGGGATCCATCATCATTAATTTCTTTGTTTTGGTAGATAACCGACTGCATAGCTTAGGTGTGGAAACATGCGGACATTTATAAGACACCCTTGGAAAAGCTAGCATCTGCAACAGCACGGTAGGACCGTCAAGAAGAAATATGAGACGTCAAAAGCTTTCGGTAGAGCCTGGAAAAAGTGTTGTTCTAAATGAAGGATCCAGTGACTCAGAAACGAATGACGGTCCTCAAACTAATGATAGCTCTAGTGAAAACTCATTATAAACCGTGACCGAACCGGAAACTGAATACTTTGAACCGACAGAAACAGATATACTTCCTGGTAAATTTCTTCTAGTTAAATTATGTGGTGGACCTAGAAAAAAAGACAGTTTATCGATACGTTGCCATTGCGCAAAATGTGGCCAATAGTCAAAATGTTCGGGAATTCGAGGTGTTGGGAGTAAAGTCTGTGGATGGATCTAATTCTGATCTAATTTCTAGCGGATTTTCCAGAGATAGTAGCTGTGTTATCGGATCCTGTCGTGGAAAAGTCACCTATCGTTTTGAAAATATGATAGATATATTCGAAATGTAGTTTTTCTTTTTTATATTCTACCTCAACTGTTAGGAGACTTATTTAAGTTATTTGTATTAGTTATAGATATGGGTAAGCACCTATTTCAAAATGTGAAAATATTTTTTGTGAGGTATCTGGAAAAAAAAGGTTGTTTATCAACCAAATAGGTGTTTTTGGCCATTATCTACTGGAACACGTACAATAAAATACACTTGATCAATCTCACCCATAGTGAACAATCGCATCCCACCTACATTAAAATGCTGTAACTCTGTAACCAGTTGAAATATAATAATCAGAGTTGAGATTGTTCATTTAGGAGCCTGTACCCTCATTTTACATGCAATTAATAGTATGTGAACAATCTCGCCCCAAAACAAGTATGAAGTTGATCAGCCGTTTTTAGTTCCGTTAGGGTTATAGTTTCAAACACTGGGGTTTTTTGCACCTGCTGGTCCATCCTTACCCATAATATGTATCAGATTCGATCATTATATCCGAATAAAATTTTGACACGAAAAAAAATAATACAAAAAATTTTAATATTTTGATCAATTTCCCCCCAAATGACGGTAGTGATGAAGATGATTTGCTTGTCATTCCGAATATGCCAATAATATTTGAAGACGACCAACCAGACCAGCCTGCAATAGTCGACAATTCTGAGAATATTCTTTGTGATGAAGCCTTCTCAGACGAGGAAGACAAGATTCCTCCTTCTATTTTGAGGGATAGAGAACTAGCGAAAATGACAACCTGAACCAAATCAACGGCATTTTGCGTTACTAATATCAAGCAGTTCACTGAGGAAACTGGACCTAAGATTCCAGACGATCTGGAGAAGCCAGTATATTTTGTTTATACTTGTTTCCCAGAACTCTGATTGATTAAATTGTTTTTGAAGCAAATCTCTACGCTCTTCAGAAACGTGGAGGAGACTCTTCATTTCCCCAACTTCTGCGAAAGAGATTCAAATTTCCATTGCAATGAATATATTGATGGTAATCAAAAGTTTGCCCAGTTATGTCGAGTACTGGTCATTTAGAGAGGAATTACGAGATCACTACATAGGTTCAGCAATGTCTAGGGATCGGTTTGCTTGGCATCTCGGAAATGTGCATTTAGCAGGTAATTCAGTGATGCCTGGTTGCGACTCGCCAAATCATGACAAGTTGTATAAAGTTCGCCCTTTATTAGATACTTTATCTGAAACCTTTCGTTCTTCATATGGCCCCTCAAAACATCAATCCATCGACGAATCTATGATCCGATTCAAGGGGTGCACTTTTCTAAAGCAGTTTATGCTCCTCAAGCCCATCAAACGAGGTTATAAAGTCTGGGTTCGATCCGATGAGAATGGATATGTCTGCCAATTTCAAATGGAAGGAAAAACTAATAATCAACCTGAACAAGATTTAGGCCAAAGAGTTATCTTAGATTTAACTCGAGACTTGATAGCAAAAGGATATCACGTTTTCTTTGACAACTTTTTAACTCTGTGCCATTACAGAAAACACTGCAAGCAGAACGTATTTATGTATGCGGCACTGTCACGACTAACCTAAAAGATATCCCAAAAGACTTAGTATCTCACAAAGAATTGCCCATCCGAGGACAATCTGACTTGAGGGTCAGCAAAGATGGACTGGTGTTTGTAGAGTGGAGAGACCGAAAAATAGTGCATTTTCTCGGAAATCATCAAAACCCTTCAGAGACTGTTTCCCGCAAGCAAAAGGACGGAAATTCACAAGTCGTAGCCTGCCCAACGATCTTCAAGGAATATAACCAGCAGATGGGCTACGTTGACAAAACAGATATGCTCAAATCTGTGTATGAGATAGACCGCAAACCTAAGAAATGGTGGCATAGAATTTTGGGGTATTTCATAGATATATGTGTTGTCAATTCTTTCGCTCTCTTCAAACAAAAAGCGAATTGCCCAGCTCCAAACCTGAAATTTTTCAAGTTATCTGTTGCTTCAGGGTTAATCGGTGCCAGTGGTGATAAAACTTCATGGAGTAAGGCTACAGCAAAACATTTCAAGAAAATTGTGCCTTATGAAAAACTCTTTGACCGATGTTTGAATATGCCACAACACGGGACATCCAGACGATGTGTCTTTCTTTGTAGCACTAGTAAGGATCCTCACAGAACCAGGTGGGAGTGTATGACTTGTAAGGTTGGATTGTGCCTTACGTTGTATCATAAAAAGTAACCTAGGTTTTATAATGTTATTTAGTTATCAGGGTTTTATTGGCTTGCTCTAGTTACCTACTGGTATCATGTCGAACCCATAGTCTAATAAAAAAATATATATACAGGGTGACTTCGAAGTTGAGTCATTTATTTTAACAGTGAGTAGATCTGATCAAAAGAAATGTTTTTTCCTTTAACATTTTTTTGGTAAAATTAAAGTACCAAAGTTATAGCCCTTTAGAAGTTTGAGTACCGCTCTGTCTCAATAATAATATTATGTGCTCGTATTTGGCAACAACGGATATACTCCGCCTTATCGGTTCATCGCATCGGGAACAAAAAAGCGAAAGAATTTGAAACGCTGATCACGATGTTTTTATTCAGTCAATGTGTCAGTCGGTAACGCGTGAATGAATAGTGGTGTTCGCTGCGTGGCTCAAACGAAATAAAAAATGGCACATATTTATGCGGATCGGTTTCCCAATCGAGTGCAACCAACCCCTAGTGCCTTTGTTAATGTAGTACAACGGGCTCGTGAATCAGGTGACTTAAGACCTCACAGGGGAGGGCATGCCGGTGCTCCAAGACCCCACGATCAAATACAGGTCCGCACTGAAATACTTGTCGGGAGGATACTTTATAAAGCAAGGTAAAAAAATTTGTTTGATTTTTTTTTATTTTTACACACATATTTTGGTTTATCTTCCTTCTACAATCATTATCTGAAAATTAATGACTCAACTTCAAAGTCACCCTGAATAAATATGACTAACTATGTTATGTTTTTCACTTTTTTGTCCTTTAGGAGCCCAGTAGAGTGAGATTATTTAATTTTTACCTCAATTTTTTGATGTAAGGGTTTTCAGGAAACAAAGGGTTAATGAAGAAAAGCTAGTATTGTGCTTCGGCAGAAGACCAGATAGATATATTTGCGTGCTACTCTAGTTCGTATATGGGTAAGCAGTATCAGTTTTTTGTTGCTAACTTCATAGTGTTACATATTAAAGTTTGATGCCAGTATTACCATTTTGCATTCCCCCTTTTGCTTCAGAGGAGACGATTCAGCGTATCAAACTATCAGTATCGTCGTAAAGCAGTCATTTATTGGGGATGCTCGGTTTTTTTTTAAATGTGCATCGTTTTACAATGTCGAATATAATGTATTTAAATTACTTTGGACGGGTTAATGTGACTATACACATTTGCGGAATGAGGTGAAAGCGTTACAAACCCAGGACAACTAGAGTACCTTCGCTGGATAATCGGGTTACAACGATACTGATAGCTGCATATGCCCAGTCTTTCCTTTGTGCTAGACTTGTAATACAGTTTCGCTACAAAATTATTCTATTATTTATTATTATTATTTATTATATTACACTATCAATTAAAAAAATGGAGAGGGTATCAAATCGATTCTTCTCACTTATTGCTGTGAGCTTATTCAACAATCCAAATGTAAGAACATTTTGAGCGTCATCAGTTATAATTGAAATGCGAGAAATGCCAGTTTCATTCCCATTGAGTATGCTCTAATGTAAGCAGAAGGTTGAGAACGTCGAAAAGGCAAGTTTCTCTAAGATGGTGCTTCTGGTTACGTTCAAAAATTATCAAAAACTCGAAAATCATCGAAACACAAATATAGACAAATTCTAAAATACATCGTTTTTTGCCCATAGTTCCGGTGTTAATGTTAGATTTTTAAAGCGCACAAAGCTGGTTTGTCCTTGCCAGTAACCTGATTTCGATGTTTCTTTCAAAATTCTAGGGGTTAAGCCCGAGCGAAAACACTGGGAATACAAGATGGCCGTGACACCCTAAGAACCCGGCCCCTAAATTTTGCATATTTTTATGTATACTTTGGGGAATTACCAAGAGATGAGGTCGCACCCTCATTTGTGACTCTCCTGGTATATTTTGGAAAAACCCTCCATATACGTCAATTTTGATTTCTAGGGGGACGTATTTTTATCTATATCCGTACAATACAGGGTGATCGAAAAATATGATATTAGGTTACACTTTAGATTTTTAAATAGAAACCTCCGTTTTTTTAGTTCTTAGGTTTTCCATGTAGTTTATAGTCACTTTCGTAGAATAAAGTTTATACATATATTCAATCATTGTGAAGCTATTTGAGTGCATATTAAAATTCAACTAACTTAATACTGATAATAGTGGAAAGCACGGCCAAAAATAATAATGATGGACGCCAGCAAGAACACTTAGCATCAGTCCTTGTCATCGTAAACCCTGTATTTCATGTTAAATTGTTGAGTCACCTACCTAGTTGTGATAAACATCGAACAATGACTTATTGAATTCAAAAACGGGTGGAAATAACAAAACTGTATTACCAAAATGGGAACATGCAAAATTCCTGCCCGGTTGTTAAATGCGTTACATCCAGGCAAAAATAAGAGCGATAAGTATATGACTAGGTGATTCTTCAGCTTTTGGGACACGTAGCACTTGACAACAACCAAAGCACTCGTTGACTGTCTACTTCCTTAAGATTTGCACGCTCAACAGTACAAAGGATTCTAAAAGACAATAAATCTCACCCGCGAAAGGTAAACCTTGTCCAAGGACTGTAAGAAGACGAGTTTGATAGGATGTTGGAGTTTTGTGAATTAATGTCCCATCATTTAATCAACAATGCAAATCTGTTATTTAATATTTGTTTCTCGGATCAGTGTACGTTCTATTTATATGGTGCTAGGAACAGTAATTGTCGATATTGGAATGACTCGAATCCACATTTGTTTCGAGAGGTACACTCCCAATATATCCTGAAAGAATAAATGTATGGTCCGAAATTTTCTGAAATCATATTGTAGGACCTTTCCTTATTCCTGGAAACTTAACGGGTGAGACGCACTTGGACATGTTAGAAAATACAATAGAGCCACTAATTATACCGAAATATTATAAACTGACGTTGATTATAATAAAAAGTACATTCATTTTCAATAAGATGGTCCACCTGCGGACTTAATGACTCCAGTACCCCATCGAGTAGCCTCCGAGGTCTCCGGATTACTTTCTTTGGGGGCATTTGAAAGATAAAGTTTTTAGACCAAAGCAGATTCCATTCAAGATCTAGATCAGTGGATTACGGCTGAATGTAAACAAATAATTCAAGAGATGCTTGAAACCGTAAGGAACAGATTCGGACAAAATATTTATTATTGCATGGAGGTAAATGGACACCACTTTCAGCACTTATATTATTATTTTCACTATATAGTCAAAATCATCAAAGATGACTATTACGTCATACCATAAATTATACTGAAGTAATCAATGGACGTACGTCGATGATAAAATCACGATATCAGTAAGTTATATTATGATTTTGCGAAGTTAGTTTATTTCACTGATTATTTTTACTTCATGGTTTAAAGTGATACCTTAATAATAATTTTAGTGAGGGGTTTTTGTTTTGAAAAAAGTTACGAGTAGTATACATCTCAAGACTTTAACAGCAAAGAGCAAAGTTTTATTTGAAAACAACATAACCTAACTATTCATCTTTCAAATATGATCGATCAAGCAACATGAAAACGTCATCTATCTTCGTCGGAGACATGCAAATTAGCAATACAGTTTGTTTAGACAGTAAAATTCTGTTTGTCTCTGTCTAAAATATTTGAAGCGTCATTAAAAATATTCACAAATCACTGTCGTTTGTATTTACTACAGACTAAAATGATGACATAATCATCATCTTTCGTGATTTCGACTATATAATCCCTTATTATCAGAGTTGCTAGAACTCTATTATGAACTGAAATAGCTTCACAACATTTAAAGATAGGCATAAACAAATTTTACTAAAAGCTTCATAGAAAATATAAAAAATTAAAAACGGGGGGTTTCCATTATAAAATCTAAACTCTAACGCAATTTCTTATTTTTGGATTACCCCGTACCGGCTATAGATGAAAAGGGAGAGTCACAAAAGAGGGTGCACCTTTCCGTTGGACCATCATTCATAAAAAGTTCCATCTTAGAGGTGCCAAACCGAGTTTTCCAGGTAAAATTTCTGCAAGCACCCATGGGATCAAGTGTTATTAGTTTTTTGCTGATTACTTCACTACTGTTGGAACAATTCTCAAAGTGTGGGGAAAGGATAACTTGGTACAGTACTTTCTTTCACCGCGGTACCTCCCAAGTCCTGGATGGGTCTAAAACCTTCTGACGGACCGCAACAGCGACAAAAAACTGACGGAAATAATTGTTGTATTTCATGATGTTTGTGTCATATAACATCCAGAGGCATACAGGGTCTGTCCGAAAAGTAATAGGACTCATTTCCTTCCGCCATGATTGTACTTCGGAGCGTGCGTAGAGGGCGTTCCTAGCCAACGAATGAGCGGCTGGTCAGTTGTCTCCGAGCACTTGGAGAGTCAGGACAGGCATTTTCGCGCGACGTGTATCTGTGAGTGGAGCAAGCCGAAAATGCAGCGTTCGTTAGAGCAGAGGTACGCGATTAAATTCTGTGTGAAACTCGGTAAATCTGCGACAGAGACGTTTGATATGATTAAGCAGGCTTACCCAGGTGTTGCTTTAGCAAGAACTGGTGTGTTCCGGTGGCACCAGGCCTTTTTGGACGGCCGGGAAGGGGTCGCTGATGAAGACCTTCGACTTCGACAAACACCGATAAATGTGGCTCGTGTGCGCAAAGTTTTGAACTCAGACAGTCGACTAAGTATTCGTTTAATTGCCAGATGTTAAATTTACCAAAATCTGTGGTTCATGACATTGTGACACAGCATTTGAACATGCGCAAGGTGTGCGCGAAGATGATCCCAAAAGTGCTCACTAACGACCTGAAATTGCGGCGAGTGGAAGTGTGCCAAGAAAATTTAAACATGTGTGAAAGTGACCCCAAATTTTTGAATAACGTAATCACAGGTGACGAGTCTTGGATCTTTGAGTATGATCCCGAGACAAAGAGGCAATCTTCCGAGTGGCACACGACGCCGTCTCCTCGCCCTAAAAAAGGGAAGAATGAGCAAATCCAAAAAGAAAACGATGCTCATTGTCTTTTTTGACATCAAAGGCATCGTCCACCATGAATTTGTTCCTCCTGGACAAACCGTCAACGCCAAGTTTCACGTAGAAGTGCTCAGGAGACTTAAACGAAGGGTCAGTCGGGTCCGAGAAGACATCGCAGCCGATTGGAAGTTGCACCACGACAACGCCCCGGCTCACACCGCCTTTCTTGTGAACAGCTACCTGACCAGGGCCGGCATCCCAATGCTTCCGCAGTCGCCCTACAGCCCAGATGCGGCCCCACGGACTTTTCTTTGTTTCCTCGCCTGCAAAGGCCGATGAAAGGCAAGCATTTTGAGACGCCAGAGGGGATCCAAGCAGCATGCACCGCGGCTCTCAAGGCTATTCCGGAGAATACCTTCCGTGATGTCTTCAATGCTTGGAAATCGCGCTGGCAGCGCTGCATCGATGCAGAAGGAGCCTATTTTGACAGCTTTTAAAGAATTGTAACGATTGGCTCAATACATTTTTTTAAATCGACTCAGTCCTATTCTTCTGGACAAACCCTGTAAATCTCCTTTTTGATATATCTTACAATTACAATATATCAACTATTTCGGCTATTAGTAGAAAACTACTACTAGTTCGTTACATTATGTACCCGGTGAGTTAGCTCGTATAAGCATAACGCACAGTATCTGGCTCGCCCCATACCTGAACGGCCTGTTTACAATACACGAATAACGAATCCCCCATAACATCACAACGTGTCCCCTCCTGTCTCTGGGATTCATGCTTCTAATTTTCCTAATCATTTACAACTGCGTTTTGGAGGGATTACATATCCCTTCGTCCAAGGTACGAAGTAATATATTACACATATTACATGAGCAAAGTTGTTAATAGAAACATTGCGCAGTTGATACCAGGGCGTAATGCGGTTTAATTTTGATAAGTAGCCGGAGCGCTGGGTCCGTAGCACAAAGTGAGCGCTAAATTATTTCCTAATCCTCTACGAACTCTCGATGGCCGTTTCGCCGAACCGTAGCGGGGCCCTACGGCCCTTCTCCCTGCTCGAAATTCCTCTCCATTCACAATCTTATACACTCTCTGTCATGCAAATATTATATTAAGGCCGGCCGAGTCCCTCATTCCATGGCAAGGGAAAGGGCTGCTGGTGCTACAGTCATAAGCGGAGATGAGGAAAATAATGGTAGTGAATAGGAAGATGAATGAAACAGAGATTATGCGGATTATCATCTTTGGTATCAATATGCTCCAACTTTGCAGTTTTTTAGAAAATAACAGTTCGTGCTGTCAATATTACACTATTTGGTTACCGAATTCAACGGATTCAGGGCGATATTAAGTGGACGCCCCATCACGTCTCCCTCTTGAGTGAAACGAACAAATGTCACACGGTCCTCCACTCTCATCACATAGCTTGTACATGCTAGCGGTCGCGACCTGTGGCGTTGTTTCGTCCTTTTTCGAAATCATGAGCAAAGTATAGCTTTGAAGACGCCGAGCTAATAGGTAAGACAGCGTAGTTTATGAAAAAAAAGTTCCATAATTGTTTAAAAAGGTAGTTGTAGTAGTAGGGGTGGTTTATTGCAGGAAAGTAATAATTTACAAAGGTATATATTCCAATAATACAACTGTATACGTACAATAAACACGGAAAACCCCAAAAAGGTAAACTTGTGCAGGGCATTAGCCGATAGCTAAGCACAATGAAGAGCAGCATAGCTCTAATAAAACTGAAACATTATAAAATATAAGTGAGCTGACTAAGTACAACTAAAAAATAAAACACACTAAAAGCTAGAAGTATTAATCGTTATAATGCAAAAGTAGTCGCATCAGTATAAACACTTGAAGAGTGCTAAAATGTAAGTAGAAACAGAATAAAAGATATACAAATGGAAATACATTAAAAAGTATTCAATTAAAACTATACTCTAGGCGCTGAAGAAAGAAACTAAACCCAAACAAATACACGCATATTGCTCGTGAGTGAGTGTTTAGGCGCAGGAGACATTACAGGACCGCATCAAGATATTATGGGTAGTCATCAAAAATTTCATACAAGATAATTATTATCTTTTACAGTAAATTTCAGTTAGAGATTCACAAATGAGTTAACTACACTTTTTAGTTATTAGTAAGTAAGCTGCGCGCACTCATTCAGAAGAGGAACTTGAATCTTCTGAATCGTTTAAATGAATTATTAGAGGTTCAATTTGGGTATCGATGACATTGTCCAAATCCCACATTTTGACCTCAACCTTCTCCCGAACGTGGCGGATACAGTTTTTCCATTCCTCTGCCGTAACTCTATTGACTGCGATGTGAAAGAGATTTTTAACATCAGAAAATTTATAAGTATTATTATTCGACGCCACGTATTGCTTTATGTTGGCCCAAATCAGCTCAATAGGGTTCAGCTCACAATGGTAGGGTGGCAGTCTCAAGACAGTTTTATTTTGTTTTTTGGCCATTTCGTCGATTATTTTAAAATCGTATTTGTATTTATGTCTATTGACTATTCTTATCAATTCACCCTTGACCATTGTTTCATCAAAATCGATCTGTTTTGAGGCCAGCCATTGTTGTATGTTTGCTTTTTTAGTTGCCATTGTGGGAATTTTTTCTATTTTTCTAGAATGGTACGGGGCATTATCCAGTAAAATAACAGCGTCATTCTCCAGCTTTAGTAACATTTTGGTGAACCAATTTTCAAAGGAATTGCCGTCCATCTCCTCATGATAGTCCCCTGTCTTTTTTGATTCAAAGGCCCACAGTGCTTCGGGAACAAAGCCGTCTTCACTACCTACGTGACAAATGATCAGCCGTTTGCCTTTTCCTGGAAATAAATTATTCCCTACACTATGGATTGATTAAATTTGAAGGAATGAGGCAATTGAGTTCATTTAGCTGAATTTAAGAGTCACGGAATGCTGATCAAAAACTGAAAAACGTAGAAAATTGAAGTTTGCAACTTCTCAAAACCCATTCAAAGCAAATTGACTGCACCCAAAAATGATAATAAATTTCAAAATAACGCTTAAAAGAGGGTCGAAGTTTTTTTCCTAATGACTACACTGCGAATGCACCATTTTTGGAGAATATCACACATTATCTGCTATCACAGCATATTATTTGCCCGAATTTATCAAAATTAAATTGCCGGATAGATGAAGGAGCTTACCTGCAGGATTTTTCAATCCAGCCGAAAGACCGTCTAGAAAAGCCTGCCTTGATGATGTTACTAATTTGTCGACCCAAACTTTCGCTTGAGTATGTCCAGCATTCACCCACGTTTCGTCCAAATAGTAAATTTTTATTTTTTCATCGCGAAACTTCCGAATCTTCCTAAGGTATTCCCTTCTCCACACAACAATTTCTTCTTTCTCTATTAACATACTGTTTCTTCCCCGTTTCAAGAATCGAAAATTAAGTTCCTTCAAAAGTTTTCGGAATGTGGTTCTTTTAAATGATGGAAGATCCTCATCAGCATTAACTAATCTTAATATCTTATCTACTGTAGGTATCTCATTTCGGAAGAAAAAATTATGCACTTTCCTCCTGATGGCAGTTCTGTCAAAGTCATCTACTCCGTCCGTTATCCTTTTTCTTGCAGGATACGGTTTTGGCTCAGAAAGTGAGTGAGTGCTCCTATATTCCTTAATGATCCTATAAACACTGGACCGACATACTCCAGAAATATGTGCTACCTTACATATAACTTCGTCCACGACCAAATCGGGTTTTTCTTGAATTTGGTTTTTGTATATATTTAATATTATTTGTTTTTCATTTGCACTTAAATGTAGCTTCTTAGCCCTTTTTTGGGTGGGGTTGCGCTGATGTCAACCACTTCGTCGGCTGTATCTGTGTCAGACATCGTATCTTAGGCAATATATACGAGTATACGCTACTGAATGCGTAATGCGTATGCAATGCAATCCTGTGCGTGAATTAACTGTTAGATGCCTGTCGTGTCATCTACAATCACGTTTACAAGTCCAAACCTGTGCAGATTCGTAGAGCGCCGACGACTGCTAGTGACCTTGAATTTGTCTGTAGATCGATGTTACTCCAGTCAATTTAGGTTCAAAGTGGATGTTTTCTAAACCAATTTGTTGTTCCTACATCAAAAATATATCGATGATGTTTTGTACTGGGAGCTCATGAAAGATCAAGGTAACTTATTTTAACAGTCATCCTTTTTCTAGTCTCAAGATGACACGAAAAAGGGTCTGTGGATTCACTAGAAATACACTGCCGAGGATGTTTAGACCTAAAGTGACTGGAGTATATCCGTGGATGCTTTCGAGGGATCTGTTCACGTGCTGATCACTGTTTACGTTTAATGTCTTTCTTCAGCGCCCAGAGTTCAGGTGTTATGTCGATAAAGTCTGGTTTGTACGCATTCGGCAAAGTTAAAAAGACTTAGCGAATTTCTGATAGATTCATTTGCAATGACTATAATCTTTGTTTTATTAAAATGTCGGTAAGTACAAGTTTTTTGCGGCAATATAATCATGGATAACTGCCCTCGGATTTTATGTTTCCATGGTTTATTTTTTTTTTCAGGATACTTAATCATTTACATTCTAGAGGAATACTGTTGTACGTATGAGGTCCAAGGAATGTCCATGATCTCAATAGTAATGATTTTTTTGGTTTAGGTACAATTAAGTGCCACAGCGTATTTTACCAAATCTCATACTTATCGTCGGTCTCCGCACGTACAGCCGTAAATGACAAATAATCTAAAATCGAGTTACGCCGTAATTTAGCATATCTTTTGTAGTCTCTTATTTCAAGAAATGACGTAGCTGTATATCAGTTCGCTGCTAAAGAATAACATTTTCAGAAAATTGCATAAGTTCAAAAATTCGGAAAATAATTTTCACGTACCGGCTTAAATAGATTTATGCCTCTGCGTTAAGACTGGTTCTTCATCATTTTGGTCTAACAAAAAAAACAACAGCAACGTGCAGACAAAAAAATCAGTATGTCATTTTCAATCTCATTTATTGCTGATTTTCGTTTTCTAGCTCTACTGTAAAATTTGTAAAATGTTAGTTACGCCGGTACGTGCGGAGACCGACATTATGATTGATTTCCTCTTGAGAAGTCCTCTTCTTGTACTGAAATACTAGTAGGTTGTAAGCATAACGTTAGCGAGTATCGAATATCTCTCTTTGAATAAATAGGTCATTAGGCGGGTAAATGCTTGGCTTTTTGCACATAAACTTGAGGATACGTTTTTTGCTACTCCAATGATATGATGCCATATACCAGATGTGACTGTACAAGAGCTAGATAAAGACTATTTATATGTTTCTGGGATAGGAATGTTGACAATTGTCTAAATTTGGACAAGATTCTGAGCTTTTTTTCAAGATAGTCAATATGTATATTCCATTTAAGGTTTCTACCGATATAAACACCTAAATATTCTATACTATCTGCTCTTTGCACGATGACTGGGTGCATCGAGATGGTCAGCGAATTGTACTTAGATAAATGTCACATAAGACGCAAATGGAACAAGACTGTTTTTGCATAGTTCACTGTCAAAAACTTATCATTGAAATACGTGGCAATATTTTCAAAATGATCATGCATTAAAGTTTATATACAATGACGGTGTCGTCTGCACAGTCTAGTACTCCATCGTTGGTTTCGTTTAAGAACCAGTCATTCATATAGATGTTGAATAAGATTGGCTCCAATACAGTGCCCTGAAGCACTCCGTATTCTACTACCCTGAAGTCGATAGTTGTGTCTTGAATTTTTACACATTGCTTCCTGTTGCTCAAATACCTAGATAAGTTCAGTGGTGTACCTCTTATACCGACACACTATAAGGATTCTGAAAGTTTTGTATGAGTAACCATATGAAAGGTCTTAGCTAAGTCCGCAAACATACAAGCCGATGGAGCTTCATCATTGATTAATTTATACAACTGGTTTGCCAGCTCTGCTATTGTATCTTGAGGAGATAGGTTCTCTTTGAAACCAAGCTGTTTATTACTTAAAATGTTGTACTTAGTCACAAAATCTGTAAATCTGTGCTTGTTATTTTTTTTCAAACTTAGTTTCACCAATCATATCAAAGACCTTTTTAAGAAAACCTACTTAAGACTGAGATAACTGCCAATAAAGCAATTTTCAATTTTAAACTGAGGAAAAAATTGTGGTCATCTTTGGTTATGTCGATTCGCAACTACTGTGATATTTTGTATTATCCGTGCATCGATGTCTTTACTAGAAATCGGATTCAAATTGAGCACAACAAGTGTGCTTGGTTCATCTGCGGCTTAAGGCACTTTGACCATGTTTCTGGTAGTCTTATTGAATTAAACTGGATGATAGCAAGAAATATTGTCAAATATTATTACCTTGTATTCATTCATAGACTAACACTTATGTCAAAACCTATATACTTAAGAGAAAAGCTTATCCTAAGGCTTAATATTCATGATAGACATATAAGATTTCCACATTTGATAACTACACCTATTTGCTCAACAGCTTTACTTCAGCGTTCTTTCAAGTACAGTGCTAAAGTGTTATGCACTGCAAAATCTTTATTATTGCATGGAGAGTCATGGTGGCAATTTTCAACATTTACTTCCTAACGGGTCAGTTCATTCTTCATTTTCAAATTACTTTGCTGCCAAATGTATCCATCACCAGTGATGATGTATTAGTTTTATTTAAGTACATTAATTGTATATCATTATAAAGGGAATTGAAAGACCGTTAAAATCAGGTATCACTCGGCCCCCCTGTCCATTTAAGATTTTAGGGTTGATGTCACTCCCGCCCAGGGGGCTGCACGTCCCCCTCGAAAACAAAATCCTGCCAGTAAATGCGTCTGTTTCGTTTTCGATGCGCCACCCTGTATATATATATATATATATATATACAGGGTGACTTTGAAGTTGAGTCATCAATTTTCAGATAATGATTGTAGAAGGAAGATAAACCAAAATAGGTGTGTAAAAATAAAAAAAATGTTACCTTGTTTTATAAAGTATCCCCCCGACAAGTATTTCAGTGCGGACCTGTATTTGATCGTGAGGTCCCCTGTAAGGTCTTAAGTCACCTGATTCACGAGCCCGTTGTACTACATTAACAAAGGCACGAGGGGTTGGTTGCACTCGATTGGGAAACCGATCCTAATAAACATGTGCCATTTTTTATTTCGTTTGAGCCACGCAACAGATACCACTATTCACTGACACTGACTGTATACAAATGAATGAAATAATTGTAAAAACATCGTTCCAAATTCTTTCGCTTCTTTGTTTCCGATGCGATGAACCGATACGGCGGATTATATCCGTTGTCGCCAAACACGAGCACATATTATTATTGAGACAGGGCGGTACTCAAACTTCCAAAGGGCTAGAACTTTGTTACTTTAATTTTACCAGAAAAATGGTAAAGGAAAAAAACATTTCTTTTGATCAGATCTACTCACTGTTAAAATAAATGACTCAACTTCGAAGTCCCCTGTATATGTATATATAACTACACTATAGTTTTTAAGTTTTTATTTAATTAGATGGGATTAATGGCTTTTTTGGGTCTTCAGGGCTTTCTCGTATGGACTCTTTGTTTTGAAGGGTTCCATACATCGGTTCCATAATCGAGATACTGTCCTTTTTAGTCATTGTTTATTGTAAAATTTGCCTTGATTGTAATGTTTACTCGTGACGAAATATTTTGACTTTGAATTTGAAATGGATTGCTCTTATCTATATTGTCAAACATTTCTTCTTTACTTCCTTTGTGTACATGTAGTAAGTCTTGGTGCAACATGTACATCTTTTTTTGTTTGATATCTGCTACTTACCAACTTTTGTTTTTTTTGCATGGGTCGTTGAATGGAAGAGTAGCATGTTGCTAAACTTCACCACCATATGCAAATATTGTTTCTATGTATGAAATTGAACAGATGAATGAAGACGATTATGATTATTATAATGTTTTCTATTGTTTGCTATGTTGGAGATAAGCGAGATTGGTCTGTAATTATCCATTTCTAGTTTAGTACCTTTTTGTGCAACTTGTGGAAACTCCCCTATAGGAAAGCAGAAGATAATTATGTAGGACAGAGGATCATGTATGCGGCTATAAATTGTTTTCAAAAGTTCCGCGCGTTTGCCATCGACACCATCCGCTTTCCTATTTCTTTAAACTGAGAATTTGTTTTCTTACTTCCTTCAAGTTAGTTTCTCTAAGCAATAGTAAATTCATTTGTTCATTAGGCTTTCTTGCCGACTAGCGCCTCATAGTCACATCCCAGAGCAAGGCTACAACCTGAGAACTACAAACAGCATCGAAGAGGCATCACCAACTGATAAGAAAAATCCATCGCATTTATCGGCCAACATACCTTGGCATTCACCAGGATGCGCCCTAAAGACTACAGTAATGGAAAGCGTCGATATGAATCGGTATCAACCGATATTTGACAGTATGTGATCTCATCTGCGATAAATAGTGTGGTAAATAAATGAAACGGAAGGTTGCCGTATCGCGAAAGATCTTTTTCGACGGTATGTGATGACAGAAGTATCGGTTATCAGGGTCCCGGAGCGGGGCCGCGGTGATAGATCCACCTCCGTTCAGAGCGCTCGACAAACATCTCTCACCTCACGTCCGAATTGCATGCAGACGAAGACATAACCTGTCGGCCTCTTTTCTCACTCTCATTTTCCACCAATTTTGACGACATATTTTGTTGTATTAAGGGTGCATTTCACCAGGATTGTCAAATCAGCAGTCTGTTATTCTTCATCTATAGGGTAACAGTCTGTCAAATACAGCGAATGAGCTTCAAGTTCCAATCAACAAATTTTAGCAACCAATAGCTATGAAATGTTGAAAACAAAATAGTATCAAAGTATGAGATGACAGTTTGTCATTGAAAGATCACTAGATGATTGAATATTAAGAAATTACATATAGTATAGTCAAAATTTAAGAAGGTGTTCGATTTTTGAATGCTTTTATTTAATATTGTCGATTGTCTATTCATGTTTATATTATTTTCTTCAATTGATATGCGATGGTACCGATTCTACATCACCTACCGTGTATTTTTTCCTTTAAACCTCTTGCAGATAGCCATTAAGCACCTACTTGATGACAGGCTCTACCAAAAACTTCATAGATATTGCTCGTTTCCAAACATTCATTCATCTACTTGCCGTTCAGCGGGACCATTATAGCACCGTCGACTGATATTTCCACAAAACCATTCAGGATTTTTGATATCCATAAATCCGTAAAGTCAAATATTTTTTGGTTTTTGAGGAACTGAACAAACATCCACACCATACCTACAGCGATTAAGAAATATTCAAATATATGTTGTAAAGTTACCGATACACTTAAAACTTGCAAAAAAATAGAATTTGCAATATCTTGTTTCATATTCTAGGTTATATTTATATTAGACATTATTTGAATAACAGCTGATAATTACATTTCAAAACTCCCCAACGAGTGGCACACATGTGTGGGATCTGTCAACCCTTGGTCCCAACTGTTGAAATATATTTTACTATGCTTTATAAGACTATACGTGGAATTTCTCCCAAAATGGTTGCATAACACTTGAAAAAATGCAAATCATATTTAAAATTATTTCCATGTCGCCGCAAAATAGCTCCGTCGGTACCTCGGGTTATACATCTTGATAGCAGGGATGTTCGATACGATCCTATATTTCGACGTATCGATACTTTTGCTTCCCATACCCGATATTTTGGATCGATATTTTTATATACGTGTATCGATACATTTCACGAGTATCGTCATCTTTCGATCTGGACTGTGTCAGAAAGAGTGAAACATCAGATTACTTTTCTTCTTTGTTTCCTTCCGCTGGATATCGATAGCTTTATTCCAATATTTTAGAGTATTGATACTTCCTGAAACGATAAGAATCGATACATAACGATACTTTTCGTGTACCTAAACATCCCTTATGTTGACAGCTTGTTGTTCTTGTCAACTGGGCTGCAGGGTGCGGTGTTGCATTTACAATCTTACATTTTGCTAAAATCTTATGACAAATAAAAGCTTCAAATGAAATATTGACGAATATGAACGGCCATGCATAGAATTTAGAGTATAAATTCATATTGCAAATTTCAGATTGTGTTATGCCTCGACTTGTACCGGATTTTTAGGTATTTTTACCGAAAAGAGAATATTTACCGATAACATCATTCTCTACGATTTTTCAAAATAATTTAAACACTTCTATACTTGCCGAAAAAAAACAACTGAAATCAAAAATAAAGCTAAAAGTTAATTTTATGTAGTCTTCACAGTTTTATGCCCCATATCAATCATACATATCGTCCCCTTTACGACATACCGGCGTATGTGTAGCAAAAAGTCGAAAATTGAGTTGCGCCGTCAAATAGTATAATTTTTGTGCGCGTTTCATATGATAAATCAACATATCTGTATTCTTGCTATAGGTATTTATCAAAAAACCCGATAAATCATTTGACGTATCTGAAAAAATCCTAATTAATATATGGCATACAGGCGTAAGAACACATACGTCGCTTTGTCATATATGCCGAGGTCCAAAGAGATTTAAAAATTTGTGGCGTAACTACAAATCAGCCTTATTAGCACTATGAGCGCATGATACACATAACCTCAAAATACAAGCTTACACGTGGTTGTATGATTCTGATGTTTGCTTTGATCTGTGAACAAATAAGTAAAATAATAAGTGTTTTGTATAAAAAATGGATGTGTTGTGGAGCGATGCCACGAAAAATGTCGTATGTTCTAAAGGCTTAAAAACACATAAAAGTAAGCTAATTAGGCTTGGAGGTACAGTCAAAATGCTGTACGAAAACCAGTGGTATATGGGCAAGGTTATAGCGATAGAAGAGCATGGCAAGGTTATAGCGATAGAAGAGCCAAGTGAATCATACATATCGGAAGACGAGATACCATTGTCAAAGTATAAAGAAATGTACTGTGATGCACATGATTCCGAATCTGAAGACGATAGACCACTGGCCCGTTTCAGAGATGTTCTGCAAGATCCAATGGTAGGCAACGTTGGCATATCAGATCAAGTGGTCAACGTTTTACCACACAACGATTATGAAATGAGCGAAAATGATGCTCCAGAATACGACTCAGATGCTGATCCTCCTTCCGGCACGTGTGAGGTAAAGTTATGTAAAGAGGAAATATTTGCTGCCTGCCCTCGACGTGAAATTTTAGTTTGCTTTTCACACCTTCATGAAGACATAAAAAATTGTCGTGATCATGGAAAGACAAAAGAAATACTAGCAATGGCTACTCTGCTGGCACCAGAATCCTTCGAGTTCGATGGGCCAGAGAGCGAGGAAGCTATACCTAGAAAAATTAGAACAAATAAGAAGAAAATTGCAAAGCTTCAAAGAAATCTGGTTAAGGTAGCCTTCACTAAATATTAATTGCACGATTGTAATGGTTATTTTTTACAATTTTCAACAAGGTGATTTGTAGTTCATTATCTCCATCTATTTATGTTTTACGAATGATAGTAGTTCTTTTAAAATTTTTAGATGTTTGAGTTGTCTTTCTTTATATTTCAGGACATGAGTATGTAAGTCCTACTCTATAGTCAACGCCAAACAAAGTGGCGTGCACGTCATCACGATAAAAATTACCCGACCTAATGCCTAGGTTTCTATCACAAACAATTGTTCTATTGCAGTTTCATATTAATGTGATATACGTTATAAGTTGTAAAATGGTCATTACTCTCTTATTATGGTTAATAGTCATATAAACATTGTTATTAAAATATCACATAAGTTGCTTTCTGATAAATTTAGACGCATTATGCGAAATAAAATGTTTTGCAAACGCTCCAATCACTTATCGACATGTAAACGCACTAAACCGATTTCGCAGCGTTGACACATTGTCACCTTGAAACTTATTTAAACTGGGAACTGACATTTGTATTAATTTTGACACTGAATCAATTTGTAGCATTTCAAATCTTTATAAATCCTTTGGCCCCGCATACTGTAAATCAACAACTGTTTGTTTCAAAACAAAATTATTCATTTTACGAGTAGATAAAGGCAATTTTGGTATATAAAGATGCCCAAACAGTTAAATAGTCGGTGTAAGGAACTCGTGGCCTCGTTAATGCACTACTTTGAGCAAGAAAGGGACAACAACGGGCCTTTGTTGCCTTTAAATGCTGTTCAAGAGGTAGGTTACTAATAATTATATGTAATGTATATTAATAATAGTGAAATTTTATTTCATTTTTTTGTAGCGTGTTGCTGCTGCTTTTAAAATTAGTTTAAGGACAGTTAGTCGTATTTCCGAGGGTGTGAAAAGTGATGCAAATTTAGAATCGCCCAAGAAAAAGCGGAGTTATATTAAACGTGTAACCAACACAGCGACATTGGATACAAGTGCCATTCGAGAAGTGATCTGTAATATGTATCACAAAAGTAAGATCTTATTATAATAACTTATCAGAAATTTGCATTAATTTGTTAACTAAATTATAATGTCATATTACACATGGTTTCAGAAGAACAAGTTACGATACAAACTTTATGGTCTCGATTAAGAGATAGGGCATTATTTGATGGTAGTGCCACGTCTTTAAGGCGGTTGCTTAGAGATCTTGGATTTAAGTGGCTTAAGGACAATCCGCGACGAGGGCTCATGGAACTACCAAGTATAGCTTTGAAAAGGGTGGAATTTCTAAGGCTAAGGCTTCTAAGGCTAAGGTTGAGGCCTTATACCAGTTTGTCTTCCTCGATGAAACTTGGATATTTCAAAATGGGACCATAGGTCGCTCTTGGCAAAATGGAAACCAAAAAAGCGTGAAAGCTATTAAAACAGATGGTAAAAGGTATGTACTTTTACACAATTTGCACTATAAAATTTAAAACTAATATATTTTAGATACATTATACTACATGCTGGAAATGAAAATGGGTTTATTGAGGGTAGTGAAGCGATATTTTCTTCGAAAACAAAATTGAGCGATTACCATGGAGAGATGAACCAGGACAATTTTTTGAAATGGTTTCAACATCAGTTATTAGAAAAATTGGAGAGTCCATCTATGATTATACTGGATAACGCCCCTTATCACAGCATGATATTGAACAAAGTGCCCAACAATGCATGGACAAAAAAAAATATCCAAGACTGGTTGACAAATCAAAACATACCATTTTTAAACACAACGTTTA